TATTGGTTTGGATTTCAAAAATGGACTGAATCTGTTTGGTTGAAGAGTTTTTACTTGAGTTTGGTTTTGTCTTACGATTCTCTTGCTGGGGGAGTTGATTTCTGCTGATATTGTCTCGTTGCCGGCATGTTTTTGTTGTTCATTGCTTTCACCTCTTCTTCCTTTTGTAATTTCCAGGTACACTATCAAAACTTGTCATGGAACTAAGTATTGACTAGCATGTATGAAGATTTGAAAGTTCAAGTTGAAGTTTGAATAGACATCTTAAATCTCTGATGTAATTACTGTTAATTACTATCATTATATGTGATTAGATGCTCCAGTATTGTGTAGTTCAATTTTTGGGTTGTGCTGAGTGTTGGTTCATGCTAATAGCTTAAGGTGATTTAGTTGCTTAGATTTAGTGTATAATTTCAGAATATTGGGTGTTGTAATATTGTCGAACTCTAGTTGCATGAATGGACTGTTCATAACAGAAGGACGAATGCATTCCAGAATTAGTTAAGGTTTAGATGTAAAGTTACTCAGTTAATTCTGTACTTGATTGCATTTAGATTTTTGCATCTGGTGTGTAGCTGTTGAGCATGAGTTTTTCTCATTCGACAAAGCCATGTATTCCGTGCATGTAATCAGGTCTACTCCTTCGGGAAGATTTGAAATTATCTATGATGCTATGGTCTTTTTAGCTTGATGAATATTTGAGCTTTAGTTGCATCCACTCCCTGTTCAAAAGCATTGTATTTTCGCCATATCTATCAGAGATTCATGTTATACTTCCCTGTAAAAGGATGCACCACGGCCAAATATTATGGAGCTGGTGTTTTGAGTTTTTTGTTACCTGTCATATGAATGCTCTAACCTAGATAATTAATTGAGAAAAGTGAATTTGATGGCCAGGTGACTTTAAAACTTGAGTTCTTAATGGCAGTGCATTAGTTAGAGAAAGATGGGCATATTTATGGGATGCATTGAGTTAAAATGTGCCGGAGTTCTGTGTGCTTAAGTGAAGCCATATGGTTAATAGATACGAGTCTTGGTCCTTGCACATATTGTAGCTTAGTTAATTAATAATATTCGTAGAGCAGCCTTTAGGGTCGTTAAAAATATAATCCGGAGTATGCGTTCGCGTAACATGATCACGATTCTAAAAATCAATTCGGAGTATGCGTTCGCGCAACTTCGATCAAACTTTTTTTAATAATAAAAAATGGGTTTTCATGGGCTATTAATTAATTTTAGTTTATATAGCTCGAGGTGTTCCATCATAATTAAATCACATATGGCCCTCGTATTAATTTCTTATGACTTAGATATAAAATGACAAAATATTCGTAGTTTGCTTTAAGCACGTTTAATATACTATCGTGGTCGTGGACACGTTCTCGTGACATGATTACGATTCCTAAAAACAAAACCGAAGTATGGGTTCGCGCAACTTCGGTCAAACTTTTCTTAATAATAATAAAGCGTTATTAATTGTGGACACGTTCGCGCGAAATGATTTTTGACGCGCCAAACAAAAGGGGTACACGTACGCGTGACCCATTTCAAGATAATTTTTCTTAATTAAAAGCGGTAAGAGGTAAATGCACATGGGTTCTAAAATCAGTAATTAAATAATTTAATAGGCCAAGCATGATCAAAGCGACCGTGCTAGAACCACGTAACTCGGGAGTGCCTAACACCTTCTCCCGGGTTAACAGAATTTCTTACCGGGATTTCTGTGTTTGCGGACTGTAATACAGGGTCAATCTTTTCCTCGATTCGGGATTCGAACCGGTGACTTGGGATACCCTTAATTATCCCAAGTGGCGACTATGTTTTAATAAGATTGTCCTTTAATTGGAAAAACTCCTTTATACCCCTCCGGGGTGTAGTAAAAAAGAAGGTGTGACAGTGATTTTTGACCCTCCCCAAGTTTTTTTTATATTTTAGCATGTAAATAGTTAATTTATGCCTAATATCGCTATTTCAACTAATTTCGACTCTTTTACTTTATTTTATTACAAGAAAAGAATAATTACAAAAAAAAAAAATAGTTTCATTAATATTTTGTAGTCATTTTTAATCTTAAAAAATACAAAAAATAGTTTTGTTTTAATGGTCAGTCTTATTTTAATAGTTATTTTACTTAAGTAGGATTAATAGTAAATGAAATCGTATTTTTAGTCTCATTCGCGGGGAAAAAATAAAACTTGGGCTCAAACGACCTATTTTTAGGTTAAAATAGCATGGTCTAGCCAATTTTCGGACTGGTCATTCAAAATAGCCAGTGTTTACCAAGTCAATGAAAAATAGCCACTATTTTGCTACAACAGAGACCGCTCCTGCATAATATACTGGAGTTCGGTGCACATGTGTATGAACTTCCAGCATGTTATGCTAGAACTCCAACACACGGAAAGTTCCAGCATAATATATTGGAGATTCGAGCACTTGTGTATGAACTTCCACCATATTATACTGGACCGGTATACTTTGCTGGAACTCCAGTATATTATGCTGGAGTTCTAGTGTATTTATGCTGGAACTCCATCATATTATGCTGGAGTTCCAGCATACTTATCCTGGAACTCCAATATAATATGCTGGAGTTCAAGTATACTTATGCTAGAACTCCAGCATAATATACTGGCGTATTTTCCGGGTTTTAAACAATGTTTTCGCTCAGATTTATCTTTACATGAAAAGTGGCTAAATTGCGATTACTTTTGAAACTGGGCTATTTTTGAACGACCACTTGTAAATCTGGCTATTTTTAAATTTCTCCAATAGGCCTAATTTTCGAATCTAGCCCGTAATTCTCAGGGATATTTTTAAAATAGCCAGATTTACAACTGGTCGTTCAAAAATAACCCAATTTCAAAAGTAATCGAAATTTAGCCACTTTTTATGTAAAGATAAATCTGAGCGAAAACACTGTTCAAAACCCAGAAAATACTCCAGTATATTATGCTGGAGTTCCACTGTTCCAGTATAAGTATACTTGAACTCCAACATATTATACTAGAGTTCCAGGATAGTATGCTGGAACTCCAGCATAATATGATGGAGTTCCAACATAAATACACTAGAACTCCAACATAATATACTGGAGTTCCAGCAAGTATAATGGTCCAGTATAATATACTAGAGTTTGGAGCATTAGTGCTCCAGTCTCCAGTATATTATACTGGAGCCAGCAAAGTATAACGGCCGAACTCCAGTATATTATGCTGGACCGGTCTCTATTGCAGCAAAACGATGGCTAATTTTCATTGACTTGGTAAATACTGGCTATTTTTGATTAACCAGTCCAAAAATTGGTTATACCGTGAAATTTTGGCTAATTCTCAAGCTCATAATCCCTAGGCCCATACCCTTAAAAAAAAAAAAACCTAGAATCCTTATACACTTAGAACCCTAGTGGCAGAAAAACAGATCCGTCGTTACACAGATTGGGAGCCATATTTTTTTCTTTTTTTTTTATATTCAAAACACCCTAGATCGGACCCAATACAGACAGTAAGAGAGAAGCTGCGCGAGCTCCTTCCAAAAAGAACAGAAGCGCCATTTCCCATCCCCCTTCTTCTTATCACACAAAACACATCAATACAAGACCTAAGCCTTGAACCTAGGAGACACACCCACAGACCCGTTTTCCAGCCATCGCCACCCCTCGCCGGAAACCACCAGAGCAACACTGTCCAGTAGCCTGTCACCCACCAACGCACCACTGGCCCGTCATCTTTCTCACCACAAAAACCAACGGACGCAGCAACAGCCGAACCAGCTCACGGACGTCTCCATAAAATCAGTGGCCTAAAGCCAATTTTTAATAAGATACCTTATATTTTTTTATTAGTATATATACACACACACACACATATGCAGAAAAAAGTTAGTGTTGCCAATTTTTTCCTACATGTTATTTATAGTATAACATTCTTAAATGATAAAACCTTTAACTTCACATAGTAGTATTATTATTATCTATATTAGTAAGAGATAACTTAAATAAAAAATATGTTAGACATGTATTTTCAATATATTACCTTTGATATTGTTGTAAAAAAAGTATTTACTAATATGAAGATTTAAGTAATTTATTTCAAACTTCTAAAGTATTTTTAGTATTAAAGAGTAGATAATCTTTCTTTCTTTCTTTTGTCCAATTTTTTTTGTACTTTTTTTTGGCAAACTTTAATAGTCTAAGTTGAAATAAAAACATAAAATCCATTATTAAGAAATTTTGGAAATCTAGTCAATGCGTTACTAATCACCTACTTGAGTATTCTCAATCAAATTTTATAGAGTCTCAGTTAAGATAAAACGGCAATCAGTGAATGTGTTATTTAGTTACTAGATATGAATGAAGCTGGTTGAGTAACACGTTCATAGGACAGTGATCTATAAATACTTGTTGATAATTAATCATCACGGCTCAACGGAATTGGTGGCTTAAAACTAAAATATATTAAAAGACCCTGAAATTTCTTTCATAAAATTCACATAATATTGAGACAAAAAAAAAGTGTGAGAGAACAACATATAATATGTGGGTTAGGCGCACGTTATATGGTATTGAACTCTCCCCTATAAAAATATAGCATTAAGTGAAAATGGTAAAAGGGTTGAGCCTATAATCGATCTTGTTTTGAACCTTATGACACGTGTCTCGTGGATTTCTTAGTTTAAAAAAGTGAGACACAAAAGAACTTGCTTTCTGATATGTGAATCAATCAAATGTGACAAAAAAGAATAGCTAATTTAGAGAATCTGAGTTGAAATTAGAAAGTAAAATAGTAAAAAATATGAAAAAAGAAAGAAAGAAAAATAGAATTGCTGAGAAGATAAATATATTATTTAATTTAGCGAGAGAAATATTTTATCCTATTAATTCATTCAGCTACCTCTACCAAATTTTAAGAAAATTTAAAATATTTTATTAATAATTGTATAAATATAAATGACATACTATATAATATTATAATATAGCAGCACTTTATATTTTTTGGGCCTTAAATATTTGGGGGTTAAGGCAAAAGTTTCATTTGCTTTGCCCTAGAGCCGCCCTTGTCGAAATCGATAGCCAAACTTTCCGATAGCCAAAGATGAGGAAGCTAAAAGCTCATGAACAGAAGCTCCTAAAGAAGGTGGACTTTCTACAATGGAAGAGAGAAGGAGGTCACAGAGAACCTAATGTCATGCGTCGCTACCACGTTACTGGCCGAGACGACTACAAAAAGTATGTCTTTTTGTTCTCCTATTTCCATTTTAGTGGCTTAAAGAGCTATTTCTTTATTTGTTTATGTATTTATGTTTTTTTCTTTTGTGTGTGTATGTTAGGTACTCGGGTTTATGCAGAATGGCGCAGAAGCTGGTGAATATACTGAAGCAGATGGACCCAAGAGATCCTTATCGGATTGAGATGACTGACGCCCTTCTAGAAAAGCTGTCAGTGCTTTAGCCTTATGTTATTCTGCTTTGTGTATTAAGTTTCAAATTTTGGAGTGCCTGAGAGAGGATTTGCCAAGTGATACTAGTTAGGGATGCGATATCAACTTGTTATCGTCCTTGTGTAGGCTAATTGCTTTAGACCTATGATTTTGTTTAGGATATATAGTTTAATGTGGCACGATGAGAAGAAAATGTTGTAGGAGTGAAGAAAACCTTAATTTGTTGTAGCTATTTAAAAAAAATTCTCCAACTATTAAACTATTGTTTTCAATAAATAAACGTCGGATACTAGGCAAACATGTAGTGTTTTTCTGAAACGGTCGACAACTGTATATCTCGGCCTCTGATCCTCCTTTTGCTTGGTTTCTATGTATTATATCATATGGGCTTAATGTATAGATGACGATTAGCAGTATAATGTATGTGCACAGATGTTTCCCCATCTCCCTCTTTTCTAGTTTGAGAGATGAGATTTTATTGCTTTTGATAGCTTATAAAAAAAACAATTGCTTTTGGTTTTTCTTTTGATAAAGATCTTTTCTCAATCAATTTCAGTAATCTGTCTTTATTATTGCCACAGATGTCATGTGATTACAAATTCTGATAGATGTCTCCTTAATTTCAGGTATAACATGGGTGTAATAACTACGAGGAAAAGCTTAGCTGTGTGCGAGAACTTATCAGTTTCATCCTTCTGCCGGTAAGTGAGTTCTATATTCCATATTAAGCAGTTCTATGTGGATGAGAAAAAGCTCTAGCCCACATATCTTCCAAGCATAATCAATCATTCTGCAATTCTTTACGGATTACTGATTGAGACAAAGTTTCAAGTCACCGTTAGTTGCCCATAAATGGGATCGTGTTGTTGCATGATATTATTATGGGTGGTAAATAGACGGATGTGTTCTTCATTTGCAGGCGTAGGCTCTCCACTATCTTGGTGCGGCTGAAGTTTGCCGAGCACATGAAGGAAGCAGTGACTTATATAGAACAGGGTCATATTCGAGTTGGACCCGATACAGTTACTGATCCAGCATTTCTTGTGACAAGAAATATGGAGGACTTCATCACGTGGGTAGATACATCCAAGATTAGGAGAAAGGTCTTGGAGTACAACGAGAAGTTAGATGACTATGATGCAATGAATTGATGACCAGTCAGCAATTTGTGAAGCATTCCAGAATAGAATGATAGAAAGGGAAAATATTCTTGTTGGCTGGTGTGAGAGTTTTCCTGTAAGTTTACCTCATGCTAGATTGTCTTATGCAACCACTCCACATTTTTGCTCGTTTATGTTGCAAACACATGATATTCAACAGTAAAGTTCAATTGGAACATTGTATCTTTTCAGTTTCTACTGAATGGTAGTATAGTAACTTAAATCAGTCTACCTCCAGTTGTGGCAGATGTGTCGTGATTTTGTTAATCATCCAGATTGGTCATTTGGAGTTCAATTTGCTACCTTAGTACTAGCGTCATCTGCACTTGAATTTCAGCCGTCATCTTGTATTGTATTGTGGCTGAGGATGTTTACATTCATCTATTGCTGCTAGCTGTGTTTTCGTAGTCTATTATTATTATTTTTTACTGGTATTCTCCAGGCTTTTCTTTCTTCTCTTTTATATTTTTTATATCTTTATTTTTGCGAGGGTTGGTTTTGCTAGCAGTTGTTTTGGTACTTTGTAGTCGCTATGGGATCTTATTTGTTTTTCCCAAGTAAAGGTACTTTATTTGCTAAAATTGGTGATTTTAAGTTATGCTGCATGTTCTTTGGTTGTCGGTTTTCTTACCAATTCTGTGCTTATGCTCTCTAGTGCCATTATTTTTCTTGTGCAAGGGTCTCCTTGTTGCTCGCTTGGCTGCTAGAATACTGCAGTCCATTTACTTAGGATTTAGGGAGGATCATATGTACTTTCTCAAGGACATGAAGAACGCTACACTCAAGGTTATCCCATTAAAATGCGCTAGGTAGGCAATATAATAGCAAACTTACATTACTATCCATCCATTAACACTCCTTCAATGGTAACTTAGTTATGAATCCTATCCTACTTGGTCAAACTAAAGCTAAAAATCCAAGTTGAAATTGCAACATATGATGATGGACATGGTGAGGTGAGCTGTGTACAGTGAAGGGCCATATATTGAACTATTGCAAAGTATTGTCGAGTAGATAACATCGCCTATGAGGGCAACAGAAGCAGCGCAGGACCTGGGTATAAAGAGTCAATCCCTATATCCATGCTATCTCTAAGAATTGTAATCCGTCTATGTCAATGGTGATAAGTGACTATCGTGGTCCTGATGTTGCTGGCGTTATGGCGGCGTGAGCTGATATGCTGCAGGCTGTTTAACCTTCGTTCAGGAAGCAACTTCTGAAAATGGAAGGATCTGCGATTGGGGTGATTCAATTCCAATATATTGAGGTGGAAGAATCCAATGTCAGAGCTCCTCTTGATCAGACTTCATCAAGTCAATTTAACAGTCTATTATACGTATTGTACACCTATTTCAATGATTTTCACAAATTAGGAGGGGAGGACTCCTGTCATTATTATCTTCATTCGCTTTAGCTGCATGACTGAATATCGGACATGCTCATCTGAAGTTAAATTACAAAGCTTCATATTGCTCTTAAGATAAATAAATTCAACAAACAGTGAAGCTAGTTGTTCATGTAATGCTGTTACTGTCATGAAAACTAATATTTACCGTATCAAAATACTAATGCCCGCACAATGAAAATTACTAATAAACGGTAGGCAACTATCTAGATGGGTAAATCATTCGCAACATACATCAATAGATTTAGTACACGATGCAGTAAACAAAAGAACTAATTGAAGATCGCATATTTGCATTGACAATTATTCACAGCATCAAGAATGATGGCAAGTTGGAAACAAAACTGGGGGACTCTTCGAGGGTTCACTCGCAAAATCATTCCAATTACTATACGAGCAATCTGTGTATACAGTGGAACAAGAGATGCACCTACAAAAGAATATGACATACACTCAAACCAAAACTCTTGGGAGTACAATACCGAACCAAGAAACAGCCTCCGGCAAATCTGCAGTTCTTCCCACATCTGAGTGAAGCATGTACATAATACTCACATTGACTGAACCCAGAAGGCCAGAGAACACATCAACAAGACACTTCTGATAGATCAGTTTTTCCCACCACTGATTGCAGCATGTACATAATCCTCGCATCGACTGAACCCAGAAAGCACGTCGCCCAAAACACCAAGAATATCAAATGCCTCCTGGAAGTTCGTCGCCGATGTCATGTCATCAAGCCACGATAATAGTTCCGAGGAGAAATCTGCCATTTCCTTCACATTTAATAATCTATCTTTCATGACGACCTCCCAGCCTTCTAACTTTCTGCTCTCGTCATCCTCTTCAACATTCTTAGAAGTACCTTGGGTTCTCAAGATGGTCATACTCGATAACTTTTTGACCTTGAAAAAGCGCTGCATCTGTTCTATCAAACCAGTGTAGACAAGCATCGGGTGGATAGTTGAGAATAACTCAACTGACCCCCCAGCCTCAGACGCAGATGCACTTGTACTTCCTGACTCTGGTTTCAAAGCCCCAGACAGATTGCGTGAAGAACGAGGCACAGGCCTACCGTGAGTCCGCTGGATATATGCATGGTATATACCTCGTTGTAAAAAGGAAGAGCGATGCTGCAACCACGACTCATAGGATTCTGAAAGAAGTGAGGTAACCATCATGAATTGGACAGTTTCCTCTGTACCAGCAGATGTCTGAGTTCCAGCAGTAGTGGAGGCTCTGGATTCTGATGTGGGAGAACTTAAATAAGTTGATATAGACTTAATCATGATATGCCGCTGAGAAGAATCATGATCAAGAAGGTGACGAGCCATTTGCATCATGAAAGGCAAAAATCGAGCATTACTCTCTTTTCCACCACCTCTGCAATCTGCACTAAATGAAGCACCAGTTGCAAATCGAGCAAGCATCTGCAAGTCACCAAAAAAGATTTGTATTTGCATCAACAGTCTATATTGTAAGAACCTTCACCTATCTCATTGTCCAAAAAAAACCACTAATCCCTCGACCCCATCCACAAAGAAAGGGAATGATAAAAAAAGAAAGGAAAAGAAAAGGGGGGTGGGGGGTGGGGTGGGGGGGGTTGGGGGGGGGGGGGCAGGAGCTGATAGATGTAAACATGGAAAGGAATAACGAAAAATGGCAGCTCACCAGAACAATGTCGTAGGTTAACAACCGGAGCCGACTTCCATCAGCACGCCCAAGAGCATTGAGGTAATCCCAGTATTGATCAACATAGCGTATATATTGGCCCATTGGTACTGATGGACCTCTCACTGGGAATAGATTATTGCATAGTGTCTCGTTGTTTCTTAGGGCCGCTCCATCCCATTCTTTTTTAGGATTCTTTAAGGCTGCATCTGCCCGTTTAGCCTCCTGATGGCACTGAAAATGTATTATGTTGAAATGGCTGACTGTTGTGTAAACACAGTCTCCACGAGCATTTCCAGAGCTTCCAATACCAAGGTTAACCCGTTTACTGTAAGTGTAAACGCCAAGCAAGTCTGTAGGGCGCAAGCGGTAGCCTTCACGACAAACCATGCAAGCCAATCCTTCCTCCTCCTCGTCCTCAACATCTTCCAAACCTTCCAAGACCGGTCGCGCAACAACAATACGTTCACCACCATCTGAGGACAGTTCTTGCCGCATACCAAGTCCCTGGTATAGAAAACGAAAAAAAGCTCCATAGTTATGATATTGGCAACTGAAACAACTTTAGAGAATCTATATCTCAATTAGATATTAGATGTTGATCCTGGACAAATCTCTAAGCTTCAGTAAACAGAACTCAAGAAACACATGAATGTAAAGAAGCATATCGTGCCACTAGACCAAAAGATATTTTTACAAGAGAACAATTAGATGCTTGACAGAAAACATATCAGAGTTAAAAGATCAAGTTGGGGAAAATACCACAGCTGCTACCAAGAAAGTGAAAAATTAGCAAATGACATGCTGTGCCACAGAACTATTCTCTGTTTTAGCATCTGCATATAACAATATGAACTGCCTATGCACGTTGAAGGAGTCCTAGGTTCAACTTCAATTGCTTCCTAAAAGATAGATACTGTTGCTAAGCTTCTCTACTATCTCTGCAGCATCTCAATTATCTTTCTCAGTTCTTACATAAAAAAAAACTGAACTTCTATCTTCCAGTTTAAACATATATTTAGTAACATGTTTCAGGTACTTAGATATATTCTAAGTATTACTCCTGTTATGTCTATTCCCCTCGGATCTCTAGTGCGGGGAAATGCTCTGATGCCAAAGAGGAGACTATTGATATGCAATTTTCCTGGAAGACGCTTTCAAACCAAAGAGGAGGCTATTGATATGCCATTTTGTTGGGAAGATTTGACCATAAAATATGCTTCAGATGAAAACGGGTAGTCTTTTATCATTACTAAGCAACAGATCAAAAGCATTAAGCCAAGACAAAGATGAAGACGCAAAGGACATTAACAAACAGCATAGTGGAGCGAAGTGCAAGTAGTATGACAAGGAACCTGCAGCAGTTCTGTTCTCTTCCTCAATGCTCGTCGCCTCATCTCATCCCGCGTTGCATGACGTAGTTGGTGAACTTTCTCGGCTAAGAACCCATCACCTTTTCCCTCCTTATCAGAAAGTGTGTCCAACAAGTTTTCAGCCCTGGCTCCAATCTCATTTTCACCCGAGACACCCTCCAAAGCATGAAGCAATGGCAAGATTCCTCCTTCATCTATGCACTTTTGAGTGGCCAAATGGCCCATGGACAAACCCCTCAGCATGGATAAAATAAGAGGAATAGATGGGAGCTTTAAACCCGATGCCCACTCCACAGTTGATTTGAAACCAGCCTGTCCAGTGAAAGCAAAACTTTCTTTTAGATGGCTGACTGCAGCCCCAGTAATCCCCTTTTCCAGTATAATATCCTTCAACCTCTCCCCACAGGAACTTGTCTTGAGCGATTCTGAAACTCTAACAAAATTCTCCAGGGTGTATTTTTGCTTTGAGGCTTGCTGCGCAATTGTTTCATCTTTCATATTGTCTTCGTAAAGTTTTTGCAGCCTATCAAATTCGCACCAATTCTGCAAACACGGCTCAAAATGCTGTACAAGAGCTTCCATTGCTGCAGGCTCCCCGTAAGTCAAGTAAGGCAATATTCTTGCAACCATCTCAGTGTTCCTCTGCTGCTTATTTGACTTTTTAAGTCCAGACGGATGGGATAATCTTTCAAGGAAAAGTAGTACAATTTTCTTGGCCTGTTCACCAGCACCTGCTTCATCACTGGAGACTACATTAACGCCTGGAGTAATGCTGATGTTATCACTCTCATTTGCTTCTAGCGTTAAGCTCTCTACAATCAAAAGAATACCCTCAGCTGGTTCCATAGCATCCACAAAGAAAGCACGCCTAGCTGTCTCAAGAAGTAAGCCTAAAGCACCCAGCTTTAGCAATGCTTTTCGGTTTTCTCTTATCTTGCAACAAAGCATGAGCAAATTAAGCACTGCAACCAACTGCTCTTGATTGGACTTGA